CCCCCCCACCAACCCAGAGCCAGACCCCACCCTGCCCCAGCCACAGGCAGGCCAGGCCTTCCGTGGTGCTGACAAAGAACCGCGTCTCTGAGCAGCCAGTGCCCCGTGTGGTGGACCTCAGGCTGGGCGCCTGCTTGGCTGTGCTCAGCGCTGCAGCCCGCCTGAACCTCAAAAGCCCACGCTGGACCATGTCACTCCCAGCCCCGAGCCTGCCTTCACGCCTCACCGCACTCAAGGCAGAGTCCACTAGGGATGGCGGGTGAGCTCGCTGCTCCTGCACGCAGCGTGGGTGGGGTGTTGCCTGTCCTGCCCCTTCGCCTGTTGTGTGCCTCTCACCTCCTCCAGGAAGCCTTCCCTGCCTCCTCAGGGCCTGTTACGTGTTCCTGCAGCAGCTGGTGTGAATGTCCCATTTCTCCATACACCACTGTCTCGTAACTGTCCCTTTATGTTGCCCCATGAGACGACCCCCAGGTAGCCCCGGCGACACTCAGCCCTGTGGGCTTTGTCTCTCTTCCAGGAACAGCACCCACACAAAGATAAAGGTCCAGTTCCTTGCCAGGTTCCCCCAAGACCCCTGTGATGCAGAGCCATTCTCCCCAGTGATGTGGCCACACTGGCCTCTGTACCGCTCCTCTGTCCCCTCTGCCCCCCCCCCCCCCCCCGCTTCCCAGGAAGCTCCTGTTCGGGTCATGGTGTGATCGACACCTCCTTAGGGGGCCTCCCTGACCCCCAGGCTGGCCCAGACGCCTCGTTCACATGCTTGCTCAGCACCCCATCCCCATCCTCCCTGTAGTACCTGCCCTGAAGAGCTCCACCTAATAACGGGTCTGGCCTGTTCACAGTACATCCCAATGCCTAGTGCAGCCCGCACCCAAAGGAGCCCCTCTAGAAGCCCGGGTCGAGGGCAGGAAGCAGAAGGTGAAGCTGGGACCCAGGCACGGTTCTGCCGCACAGGCGGCAGGGTGTGACGTGACGTGACAACCCCGGCACTCACTCACACCAAGCCTCGCAGGGCCCAGTGACTGGAGGTTAGACACCGGAACCTAGGGCAGGGCGGGGCAGAGCTCGTCCCACCACAGCCGCCCTGCCGGCCGCCCACCTCTGAGGTCTGCTTCTGCCACTCCAGCCTGCGGATGGGGGCCGAGTCCAGCGCGGACAGGATGGCCAGGTAGGAGTTGAAGTTGTTCAGCTTCCGCAAGTGCTGCAGAGAGAGGGGGAGGGGTGGGCCCGCAAGTGCTGCAGAGAG